AGCCACATCCTGTTCTTAAATCTATTTTTGGCTCAACTATGCATTTAATTAAGAGCAGGACATATTTCCCTAGCTTTGTGTGGGAAACGCGCGATCTCTTTCATAAACCAATAGCAACTACTAAGATTTCCCTCTTTCCCTAAATTAAGACATTTTACGGATTTTACTTTGCAAGATTTTCCCTAACATATAACCAAGGAGCGCAACTTTTCATGTGCACTTTTACTCATTCTCATGACTGCTCTTGTCTAATAATTAATAAATAAATTTTGTACCCTCCTTCCCGACCTATGACCTGTTTTAATCCTTCCACTCGGCAACGACAATATATATATATATATATATACATACAGAATTATTTAATTCTATTTTAAAATTGCTCTTTTTCTTTTCCTTTTTAGTGCACATTCTGTGGGCCTTTGACTTCCCTATATGTTAATCTACAATGCTTGAACTTGGCCCCATTTCGCAATAAAATATATTTAAACACGAGGAGAAGTTGCAAAATTATAGAATAATTATTTGGGCACAAAGGGGCCTAATTTTAAAGTCAATATAGCTCATGTTCTAAATATACATAATGACTTTTATCTTCTTGTTATAATAAACCTATAATTTTGAAACTTTGTCAAACATATTGTTATGACGTATTACATTATCACACCAAGTCACAAAATTATGGACGAATTAGGCGCCGCACAAAGGGGCATAATTGGGTCTCATGGCTCGCCCTATACAAATTCTCAAAGTTGCATAAGAAATAAATGAAATGTTCTAGAAGCTTGATTCCCGTCACACAGCAAAAGATGACCACCGTCCCTTAGTACAGTGGTGCGCAAATTAGGGGTCGCCAGAAGTTTTTTGGGGGTCGCCAAATTTTTATGAAATGCATTATCCCTGCATGCTGCATACTATACAGTGTACATATAAAGAGTGAAGCGCCTACACTAACTGTTTAATTGCAATTTCATGCTGTCCACTCTTTCTTTGTCCGTAATGTGTAATGTATTCTCTATCTGGCTATCCGTGGAAAAACAATATCTCGTTTTATGCAAGAATGCCATCAGAGTGTAAATACAATTTGCATCAACGTATTTATGTGAAACTGGATTTAGCAAACTAGTTTCAATAAAAACTAAATACCGCTAGCGTTTAAACCCGAAAGATGATATGCGAATTGCAATTAGCAACATACATCCAAACATCGATGAGATAATTAGAAACTTGCAGCCACATACATCTCATTAAAGGGCAATTACTGATTTTTGAATTATACAAAAAGTATTTTCTTAAAATTATAATTAAAATTAATATGAGTTAAATATGATGATGTTTTTATTCGATGAAACGAAAGAAATGCGCGAAATATACATCGTATTTGTGAACATTTATCTCTAGGGGTCGCCGAAAATTTTCTCTCTACAAAAGGGGTCGCAGTCGAAAAAAGTTTGCGCACCACTGCCTTAGTATAATATAAAGCACTGATTCAATATTCCCAAGGACCTGGTTTCGAGAAAAAGAGTAGTACTGATATAGCTTATATAATTAACAAGGGCAGATCTAAGCTAATTATTTTTTCGTTTTATTACAGAATTATTCGATTAAAAACCTTTTCAATTATCTTTTTTTTATGTACTCAGCATATATAGGAAGCAGCATATATTCCAATTAATGATTAGAAATATTTTACTCTAAATTTTGATTTATTGTAAAAAATTTAAATCATTAAATATTATAGATATGCTATAATTAATGAGTTGTAATGTTAGTTGTTATTCATAATGGATTGAAATTTAACGAGAAACAACCTTGTTGAATATTTTTGAAATGGTGAGTGCAAAAAAAAATTTTAAAAGTAATCAACGAATTTCTCAGTTTTATAAAAATTTAAAAACAAAAAAAAATCACACACATACTAATATTTCAAAAAAAGTTTTATTATTTAAAACTACGTCAGAGAAAATTAATAGGCATCAGAACAGAATATAAAATCTATAATAGACACAGCTGTTGCTCTTACTTGGTCTTCTTAAATTCTGAACAATTGGGAGACTTAGAAATGAAAATAGAGTCAAATATTGCAGATAATATTTTAATTGACCTGAAAAATAAATATGCAATTTAAATTTATTATAAACATTTAAAAACATATGCAACTACACACATAATTTTATAATAAGTCTGAAACACCCATCAAAAAAACTTTTTTTGTCAATTTTTGTTTTATTTTATCATTAACGTCTGGTAAGTGGCTAATCGGTAAGTTTTTTTTAACATATAAATATTTTTTGAATGCATTAGAATAATTTTTTTTCTCCGAATTATCTATATATATATTTCTCTTACACGGCGACAAAAAAAGCCTCATTACAACTCCCCGAATGGCAACGCTAGAAAATCGACCAATGATTGCCGCTAAAAATGTCATATGCCAAATCTAGTTGAGGTGGCTCAACATATAGCGCTTTCAAAAACGGAAACTGCAATAACCTTAAGCTAGGCAGAAGTGAGTAGTCTTTGTGGATAGATCTCTATTTTAGTATTTTGTCTAAAGCGCTTTTTTTCACGAATTTATATATTACGAATTTATTTGACGATTTTTGATTTATATCACGAATTTATTTGTTTTATTATTGTTATTAGTTATTCATTGAAAAATGAGTCTCAGTCGTGCTGTTACGCTTTAAGATTTTATACTATAGCACATTTCTAATAGGTTTAACGAATTACATGTCATTTATTTGAATTCAAATTTATTTTAATGACTTAGTATTTACTAAAAAGATGTAATTTTTTTTTAAAAAAAAAAGTTGTTATATAGATTTGAATGATTGTTTTGAATTGGGCACTTGCACTTCGAGAAGAAGGAGATCAAAAATACCCACACATGTGTTCTATGACGTCTGCGTCAGCTGATCGTTTATAAGCAAAATGGCTTGTTGAAGTTGAGCTAAGTTTCTCCAAATAATGCAAAGTGTTAATTAACGTGAAGGTAATTAAACACAATGCCATATCACTCATCGAATTTATTGAAATATAATTCTTTCTCTTCTACATTTTTATTTAACTTATATTTAATTTTATTTATGTATTTTATTGCAGCCGTGATATATTTTTGTTTTGTGTACCTGGCAACTTCGATGCATAAATAGTTTGTTTATGTTCTGCATGGCTTCGTGCCGGTCCTTGTGTTGAGTAAGAAATATATAGTGAAACAATAGAAATCTTTGTATAACAATTTAGAATGTATCATTTAAAAGAATTGATGCTTGCGGGCTGGCTGACTCTAAATATAATGGAAAGAACAGTTGCTAACGAAAAAAATGCCTCATTTCAGCAACCAATCAGGATCCAGATATCCACCCTACGTCACTTGCAGGTTAGAATTTTGTGTATTTGCAATGTACTTAAGTTAGTAGCGAGCGAAGCAAACCATATCAGATTATGTGGCGATTTTCGGGGGTTGGCGAGCGTTAGCGAGTAGGGGGCGCAGCCCACTAGTTATTGAATTAAATCATTGATTATCATAGCTGCGATGGCTTAGTGGTAAATCACTGAGCTCTCGTTGTATAGGAACCGTAGGGGCGACTTGAAGCCTACATAGTTTTCGATCGATGAATACCAGCTTATATCATAGGTAAATTCTTCCTTAAATTTGCTTGGTTACACCAAGCAAGCTTTCCGGTATTAGCGAGTGGCATTAGAAACAACAACAACGATCGACCATCTATTTTTTACACCGACAAGCAACGATATGTTTGTCACATAGACGTTTCTAAAAAATATGATCCGAAAAATTTTGATTTTTACTACATCAATTCAACTCTTTAGTTTATAATAGCTTAAAGATTTATTTTGGGATTAAGTTCAATATTCGATTATGCCTCTTTTTATCCATTGTTAAAATAAGTTTTACATCACGTTTAAAAAATTCAAAGCTATTTTTTTCTTTCTGTTAAACGGCACCGTTGAATAAAGCAGAAAATTTTTTCCGTCGCGCAAAATCGAGTAGTTATATTCCATAATACTCCATGAAAAAAATCCTGAAAGATAGAATGGAGTAATTAACTGCAAACGAGAGGCACATGCAGCATTGCAGAGGAACGTGATAAAAGTTTAATTTGTGATTTCAATTTTTAAACCTGATCATCCAACTTCATTTACGATAAATTCTAAATCTATTTCTTAAGCTCCTTGATTTTAAAGAACCTATACGGTTCTCAGTGTGCAAAAGTCAAAATACAGTCGGACTTCTACTTAACGAACTTCCATTTTGCGAATTTCTCTATTTTGTGATTTTTTTTCGAGGAACCAAGAACATTTTGGAAATGTCTTCGTAAAATAATTTCCAAATAGCGAAGTAAATTTTCTATTTAATGAACATTTCTTTGAGATTCATTTTCCCTATTTCCCAAAATATTTCAGAACGTTTCAAACTTGTTAACGCATTTTATGTGGGAAATTACCTTGAATTGATTTTCGAAGCCATTCAAATTTTATAGAAAGCAGTAAAATCTATTGACGCCCGGTGGCTGAGCTGTAGCGCTTCGCGCTGTCGTGCCACAAGTCCTTGGTTCGATCCTCGGGCCGGGCAAGGTTGACTCAGCCTTTCATCCCTTCAGTGGGTCGATAAATGAGTACCAGGCATGCTTGGGAACTAAACACTGGGGGTTCCGCTTTCGGCTGACCACCTGACTGGAACATCTGCTCCTGCACCCCAGAGCCCAAGGTCAAGGAAACTGAGATGGGCACAGTAGGCTTTGGCCGTAACCATCTAGGCCCTCTATGAGCTGTTCTTTGGCCCTCTATGAGCTGTTGCGCCACTGAGTTTAGTTTAGTAAAATCTATTTCCCTTCTTGTTTGCCTTTCAAACGAAAAATTCAGATAAAATTAACGAATTTCATCAGTAGCAATTAAACTTAAAAGAAGACACGTGGTTATGTATGTTTAAAATTACTTTTATAATAAATGCAGCTATAATTTTATACATTAATTTAGCTTTTGTTTAGTTGAAAATGTATGTAGCATGATAGTGTAACACTGGATAATGTTTTGCTCCATTATTGCTTTCAATGCAGATTTCTTTTATGGTAAAGATTTATAAAATAAATAGTAGATGCTAGTTGACAATGGTAAAGGTGTATCAATTGCTATTTTAATTATGTCTAGTGTTTATGAATTTGAAACTTGTTTTGTGAAGTTTAATTATTTCAGAAGGTATTTTTATATTTAGCGAATTTCCCTGTAACGAACTTATTATCAGGATTTAGCGACCTCATTAAGAAGAGGTGCAACTGTATAATAAATTTTTTTGATATTAATAAATTTTTCAGAAGGTAAAAGAATTTTTTTTTATTAATTATTTCTATACATACCTAAAACTTCCTCTCACATACTTTTCAGCAAACATTAAGACGCGCTTTCTTATGTTATGCATTTAACAATGGTTTTTGTATTTTTTTTCTCATTCATTTAAAGACTCCAGATCAGTTAAGTATCTGTTTAACTCAGCGAGGTAAACTTAGTTTTCTTACTTTTTATTTTTATTTTGACTGAAATCGAATTCAGATGTGCTGCCCCGCTCCCTATATATGGCATTAAATGATGTTCACTAACAATATTGTTGTGTGCTTTTTAACTTCCATATTTAATTATTCCATATTTAATTCCATATTTAATCTTATTTTCATTTCCATATTTTCCATATTTTTAAGCATATTTACGAAATTTCTCACATGTGTACAGAAAAACTAATTTTCTTTTCCAATATACTTATTAGTGCAACCCTTTAAAATACATATTTTTTGTTTGTACTTATTTTTTAAACTGACCTATTCCGGAATTATATTGTAAACAATAAGCAATTGATACAATACTGTTTTAATGATTAACATCACACAACAAGCAACAATCCTTTTTCTAATTTAGTTGGAAAAAAGTTTTAACACCGTAACTTGACTTGTGTCTTTAATTGCATTTCCGCTATAGAAATCCGATTTTAAGAACGAAAAATGTAATTATTCAACAAAGACAAATACTTTTGCTGGTGTATTTTTATCCTTAATGAAAACTAGAATTGTGATTTGAATCAAGCCAACATAAAAAAATATTAACTCATTGTTTTAAGCAAACAATAATTGAAAATATAAGGGCGTTTAATTGTATTTTTCAAACATGTAGAACTAAGTTGCACACTACTTTTTAAGACATATGGAAACTTTTCCTTAGAGATTTATTTCATGACTCATTGAATAACTTCCCTTTTCTTGTTCGCTACTGATACAAGATATCTGAATACGAAAAACCACTAAAAAAATTACAAAATATATTTCAAAATATCACCAATAAGAAGTAGGTCAAAAAAACTTACGTTTAATGCTTCCAGTACCATGTAGTTAATGCTTCGTCATTTGAATATTTTGTGAGGCACAAGGAATTTAATTTTGTTTATTGAATGAAATGTTTTAAGATTGTCCTCAGTTCTCGTGTCTAGCATAGATCGACTTTGTCCAGTCACGGATAAACCATTTCTAGGAGTATGTTCTACCTTCGTCGAACATCCTTCTGAGCCATGATGCGTGCAACGTGAAATAACTGGAGAAAGATTATTTATCCTTCCCCTGTAGCCTGTAGATCCTACTATAGCACCTTGTGGGATTGCGCCTCCAAAAGAGTTCATTTTTTGCGAAAATCCACCTCCTAGAGCTCCCATAGACAGTCCATCACTCATGATTCTATCACCTCTTGCCAAAAAGCCGTCTGAAATACCTCCATTTCTTATTAACACCCCCCTTGAAAGGCCACCATTCCGTGATATAATTCCTCCATTTGCAAAAATTCCATTTTCAGGTATTCTTGTACGCATTGTCGCCGAATTCATACTGTTTCTTAATTCTCCATTTGCTTTGTTTAGTCCATTTTGATTACCAATACCAAAAGGTGCTGGATTACCAGTTTCGTGCTCTAAATTCTCAATCCTCGCGAAGTTATTAAATCCTACAGTTCCACCTCCTAAAATGCCTTTTAATCCTAAATCACTTGATTTGCTTTTAAATAAAACTTCTCTTTCCTTATCTCCAGACTTAATACCTTCCATATTATTACCAAACACTTCAAATCCTCCACTAGCTATAATACCACCAAACCTTCCGGTGCCACCAATTATCATTCTGCCATCAGCTTCTTCACGTCCTCCATTGACCATGCTATTATCAATCCGTTCAGACCCTCCACTTTCCATACTTCCGTCAAACACTCTAGACCTCTCATTTGCCACATTGTCCCTATAGTTCACAGATCCTCCACCTAATTTACTACCATTAAGGTCTCCAGAACTCCCACTTGATTTGCTATCATAAAACTTTCCAGTTCTTACGCTTGTTTTGCTATCATCAAATTTTTCAATTCTTTCACTTTTCATGACAGTTTCAAACCCTTCAGATCGTTCACGAGCTATTTTACCAACATACCCGTTAGATCCTTCGCTTGTTAGACTACCATCAAGTTTAGGTTTTACATTTGGATTACTTCTATGAATATTTTCTGATACTTCACTTAACAGGCTGCTACCTAATTTACTAGTATTAAGGTCTCCAGAACTTCCACTTGTTTTGCTATCATAAAACTTTCCAGTACTCACGCTTGTTTTGCTATCATCAAATTTTTCAATTCTTTCCCTTTTAATGACAGTTTCAAACCCTTCAGATCTTTCACTGGCTATTTTACCAACATACCCTTTAGATTCTTCGCTTGTTAGGCTACCATCAAGTTTAGTTTTTACATTTGGATTACTTCTATGAATATTTTCTGATGCTTCACTTAACAGGCTGCCATCAATACTTCCAGTTTCTTTATTCAATATAATACTATCAATTCCACCGCTTACATGCCTACTATCAATACTTTCAGATTTTCGGCTTATCATGCTAGAATCAACAACTTCAGTTAATTCATTTTTTCTATCAGCATCGACCTTAGTTTGTCTATCTGCTATACTTCCATCAGTGCTTCTAAATACTGCATTTGACAGGTTACCATCGTTTTCTTCAAATCCTTCAGTTAACTTGATCTGTTTACTACCTTCAGCTACTTCGCTAGTTTTATGACTATTAAAGCCCGTTCCTCCATTTGTCATACTACTACCGACAGCATCAGGGCCCACACTTGTTAAGTTTCCTTCTAACGCTTCAGATGCTGCAATCGCCATGTTACTTTCAAACCCTATAGATATTCCACTTGCTATACTTCTATCTGACGCTTTCGATCCATCAATAACTCTACTAACATCATGTTTATTTTCGATAGTTCCTGATTCTTTCCTTATGCCATCAATATCACTAGTTCCGTCATTAGTAATACTACTCTCAATCCCAGTTCTTTCATTAGCTATGCCACTACCAGTTCCTAAATTTGCCATATTACCTTCAGACCCACCGAGTAAATTACTTGTTATACCGCCTATAAACATTTGAGATCCTACGTTTACTAAACTACCACTTAGCTTAGTTTTTTTACTTCCCATACTTCTATGAATAATTTCTGTTTCTTCATTTGTCTTAATACCACTTATGTAACCAGTTCCTCCACTTGTTATGATACCAGCACTGTTACCAGTTCCTCCACTTGTCATAATACCATTAATGTTACCAGTTCCTCCACTTGTTATAATACCAGCACTGTTACCAGTTCCGCCACTTGTCATACTACCACCAGTTCCAGTTCTTTCACTTTCGATGCCATCATGAGTATCTCCTTCATGTGCTATACTACCATCAAACTGACCGACTCTTCCATTTGATATGCTAATACCTAGCTCTCCTGACCCGCCTGTTGTCATACTACCACCAAACCCTCTTACACCTATGCCAGCTCCAAAGTTAATGCTACCTCCAAATCCTCCCTCATTTCTTTTGTGCATCGGATTGTTTTTAACTGAATCTTGACCCACTCCATTTATTTCTATCGGCCAGCAGTTTGCATGTTCAGTCATCAATAGAAGCGTGAATAGAAGTGTATAGATGAATCTCTGAAAAAAAAAATAAACAAGAGAGTGACTACGGTTTAATTCGAAAAAGCTGAACTAGAGCAAAAAAGCAAGCAAAGAAAAAAAAATTCATGAACATGCTTTTTGATTACGACGTTTTTATTAAAAATGTAATAATTTTTTCTGAGCATCAAAAATAGCAAAATGTTTTTGTTTTAGCAAAATGTGCTTAAAGTTCACCCTCTTTCTTTCTTCTTACTTCCTTACTTTGCTAAAATGTCGAGAAAATTTTATTAAATAATTTAAACCTCTTTAAGACGATTTTCTGCACACTTTCACAAGGTAATGTTTCGTTTTTCAATAGAATGAGAGATGCTTGCTTTAAGTTTAAATATGCGAGGATGAATCATCTTCCGACTTAGGACTCCCACTCCCAGACTTTTTCTTGCTTCCGTAATGGAAAAACCTTCTCCCCTAGCCATTCGTGTGGACCCGTGGCGGTAACTATGGTGACGAGGTATTACTATTTCAAATAGGGGTGTGGGCTCACGGCTTAGGACTGGATTTGGCTCGGGTCATAGAGAGAAAAGGAATTTTTTTCTTCGTTGTATTGTGTTACCCCTGGAACGAAGAAAAGCTATAGTGCGGCTTTGAGGAGAACTCCTCCAGACTGAAAGTCTGGGGCTGTCTGCTGCTATGGTAACAAGCGAGAGCACATTTCTGATGAGGGTGAAATGGAGGAAAGTAGGTGTCGATTGGTTTAGTTACGACGACCTACGCTAAGATTAAGACGAAACTATTCACCCCACACCCCTATTCGAAGTGACCCTTCCTCGTAACCATAGTACTCACCTTGACGCGAGACGGGTGTCTGGAGGAGTTCTCCTGGAAGCCGTACTATACCTTCCCTGAAATATACTATTTTTGTTTCCATAACAGCTGACGGCCTCAGACTTTGTGGCAGAGGGAGTTCTTACCATAGACAAACTACACTTCAATGACAAAGATTATAACCCCCGATTCGTCAACCATCTACCACTGCTCGTCAGCACTGCACAAGCCCGGTGCAGAATTCGCCCTGTCCTCGTTGAGATTAGAACCTGGTCACCTCTTTGGGAGGCGAGTAATTTATCCCATCTATCAAGAAAACTATCAAGTAATCTATCAAGAAAGTCGACACTCAGAACATAATTACCTGCTTGATTGGTTGCCAGCTTCGTAAGAAGAGAATACTTGACACTCCATTAAGTTTCCTCCAGCAATCAAGCAGGTTTTGATGTTTTTAATATTTATCTGCTTAAACATAATTAGTTAGTTTCCGACAGCTCTTTAGTTTTATTGTGTTGTAGAACTATTGTGCTTGATATTAATCTGTGCTTTACTCCTTTCTTAAATATTAATCTTTCATAATCAATTTGCTTACTTTTTAGACTTTATTTTTAGCGATTATTCTAAAAGTATATTGAGTGTGGTGGTTTCCAGAACATAACTGTGACTGTGACTTAAAGGATTTAGGCAACTGCAAAGGAAAGAGTCTATGAATCTCGAAATTTGATAATAATGTGAAAGCCATGACCATCTATAAAATAATTAAGTAAAATCACACATTATTAAAAGATAATGTAAGGAAAGATATATTACCCAAATTCCAATTATTTTGAAGTAGTTAACCATTCTTGATAACTTTTCAAAAAAGTAGAACTCCTTGATGAAATCTGTATAAATGTATTACTGCGAAATTCACACCAAGAATAACATTTATAAACTCGGCAGATAAGTAAGATTTTAGAAATTATGAGAACTTACCAATAAAAATAACAAAATAGAACAATGGATTTAAACAAAATACTTCTAATTCAATTATATTACCTAGAAAAATAATCATTTTTAAGTTGTTGATTTTCATTTTGGAATGCGTGACACAATTCAGAACTATGAATGTAAATTTATTGTGAATTCGGAGTAATAATTTTCTCATCAGTGCTATGATAAATAACTTTACATAACTGATGATACTTATGATCAAAAACTTTAAATTATAGGGATCAACATGACATTCTGTTTCTTGGATTGTTTTCTTTACGTGCTTCTCTATTATTTTTTGATCCTTTTATTTATTTAATAATCTGAAAATTCATCCTAAAAGAACAATTTTAAAGAAATTTTAAAGTTATTTTTCCTCTTTTTAATTGTCTACAAAATAATAATTATCTGTAGACAATTAAAAACAAATCAATAATTATCTGCATGTAAATAAAAATCAATCAATTTTCTTTAGACACAATTAAGATCAATTTGCAAAAACTCTTCTGAATGAATTTTGAAACATTTCCTTATAATATTGACTTAAAAAGTAAGCCAAATATTTTCACAGCGTCTTCAGAAATTATTTTCTTTAGAATTAATAATATTAGTAGCTTTAAATATTAGTAGCTCGGTAATTTGAGTTGGACGGAACCGAGTTTAGCTCGAACTTTCGAAAACTCGAATTATCGAAAACATGAAATTTAATAAATATTTAAATGAATGATAACAAAGCAATTTTTAAATTTAGTTATTTAGTTGAAAAATACGTTATATTTAAAGAAAATTAATTTGTATTAGAGGATCAGGGTACATTTACTGCATTACACTTAGATACATTATACAATATATTACTGCATGAGATTAATTGTATTTTTAAATAATTGTATAATGTTTTTTGTTTAAACACACTGCTCCTTTTTCGCTCAGCAATATCGTGCCATCATTGAAGTAGCATATTGTCGTCGGAAGTTTCCTCAAGCTGTTGCTCAACGTATCACATTACAAACCCTAGAGCAGCTAGGCCAGTGGTTCCCACCCTCGGGGTGATCGCCGGGTTCGAATCCTTGCGATGACAAGTCGATTCGAATTCTGACCCGGCTTGCACTGACCAGAGTTCTAACGTAAAATATCTTCAGTGGTAGACGGATCATGGGTTAGAGTCCCCTTGCCATCGGGTTAACCATGGGAGGTTTTCGTGGTTTTCCTCTCCATGTAACGCAAATGCGGGTTAGTTTCATCAAAAAGTCCTCCACAAAGGCGAATCTCTCCTAATACTTGATCCAGGAGCTCCCTTGTCTTCTGGATTGGGTTCAAAATTGCAAGACTACGGAGTTGAACATTAGTAGTCGTAAACTCAAAATTGGGTCTGCTGTTCAACGACGGTTATAAAGTAAAATGAAATAAAATTAATAATAATAATAAAAAAAAAACAGAGAATCGCTACTCATCTGGGTCGCGTCAACATATTTAGTAGAGAGAAGAGTTAGTTCGGTCATGCATTTTCTCACAAACAAAGAAGTATCATAGGAGACATTTGTATCTTAATTAGGAGACATTTGTATCATAGGAGACTAACGCTTAAATCTGACGAACAAAAAGCCTGATATTCAAGTCTACTGAAATCCATCAATACTTTAACTGAAATCCACCAAGCATAAGGCAGTCATTGAAGAGGTTAAAATGAACAATTGAGTCTTCAAATTTTCGGTTTGTACGAACTGAAAATTTGCATTACGTTAAAATTTACATGCACCAGATTGCATTAACAAAATAAAATTTTTTTCAATTATTTCGCTTCAAATTACATCTCTTTTTGAAAAAAGAATTACAGGAATAAATTTATTTATTCTTTAAATTGAAAAAAAATATAAATCAAGGAAAAAGTCTAAAATCAGAGCGGAAGCGATGTAATGATTTTAAGCTTCACAAAATTTAATTTTGAACTGTACCATCGATTTTGTATTAATTTTGGGATTTCAACATTTAGTACAGTCTTTAATCCATACAATATTTTAATTGTTTTCATTCATTTTATATACTATGGAAGTATAATAGTATGGTGGTAGTATAATAGTAATTTCCAGAATTCAGCTGTTAGTAGCTGTAGCAACCCAATAAAAATCTTTGAATTTTTGTCGACTCCATTCATGTACCAATGCTTAATTCCTGATTTATTCGCTTTTTAACTGTAGCAACTTAATCCAAGTTCTAATCGGATTTTGATTGCTTAAATTTATTTTCTATACCTATGGTTCTAATTCCTTTTTTAAATGAATATTGATTGCTTCCCCATAAGCCAATCAAATTACGACGAAGATTTGACGTCGCGGCCATTTTGTCCAATTTGTCAGCTTTTTCATTGCACTCGATTCTTTTTTTTTTCTCTTTATACTCGGTTTTATTTTATTTATTTATTTTTTTTGAGAAGTACAATTGGAGATTAATTTGGAGGGATATGTTGATTTTTTAAAATATGAAAAATGGAGTTATTGGCCTTCCAGAGTAAATAATATCGTTTTACTAGCTGTTAAAACTTGAATGTTGATCAATATTGATGATTATAATATCCCATATGCACTTTAAAATTAATAATTTCCATTATTTTTGCATAACAACACGATTCTTTTCACACCAAAGCAAGGAAACAAGGTTGAATTCGTTTGATAAATATCAAAGTAATTTTTAATATAACGTTCCTTTATAGCTTATTTTTTATTCTTTGAAATGGTAAGCTGTCAAAGTTGGAAGAGCGAATTATATTCAAAATTTGGAACATATGCTCGTGAATAATTGAACAATTGAGTGGATTATATTCAAAACTATTTATAAACTCATGAACAGTTTCTTTTGCCTTGACCTAGTTGAAAGCAGATGACGGCAGGATCTATTTATATGCATTATTAAGCACTACTTTGTCTATCTTCCTTAATTTATTTATGGAATTAGTTTGAGTATTTCTATTTTATTTTTTATTAATTAGCTTTTTGTCATTTATTTTATTTTATTCCTTGATTGAAACTAGTTACCTGGAAAAAAAGAGCTGCATTTTTTTAAAAAGCTAATGGATGGTCGACTGAATGTTTGATTTTTGACTGAATTGTTTAATAACAAATTTCCTAAAACCGAAAGAAATTTAAAAAACTTCCGGTGTATCCTTCCACTTATGTTATGCTTACTAGGCAATGTGAGAACAGGCTTAATATTCCAGGAAGTTTTATTATTATGATTTATGTTTATAAATTTACGCTTAATTTTACCGTTCTGAAAATATTTTCTGCAATTTATAAATTCTAACAGGTCGTAAGCCTAAAACAAATTAAAAAATAATAATAATATAACATCATACAAATAAAGTGCAAGGTTTGCCATGTTTTGAGCGTTATCCCTTTATTAATTATATTAGTTTTCAGAATATCGCCTTTTTTTCGTATAGCATTATAACATGCTTATGGAGTCTTCCGAATTTACTTATTGTTTGAAATTTAAATTGAAAGAACGCATTATATTGTTAACATTACATGGCGCGTTTTTTTCAAGATTCGGTGTAAAATTCAATCAAAGCATTTATCCTAGCGCTTCGCTTCTGAATGCGGCTGTCCCACAGTGGACTGATTGTTAAGACACGGTTCCCAGCAGATCACCGAAGTCAAGCATCACTGGCTGCAGTCAGTGTGCGGGCGGGTAACCACTTGGATCAGTCTGCGTAGGGACCGAGGGTGTGCGGCATTGGTCCTCGTTAAACTGTTCTACCGTAAAGAGCTCGACTTCGCGTGCAGGTCGTTGGGTTACAGAAGCAGGGGTGCCATCCTCTCTGCGGAGGATCAAAATTGTGATGGCTTGTCTTCGGATCATCCTTAGGGATGTTTCCCAGACCGTCGCCAATAGCCCTTTGTGCAGCTCTAGTGTGACGCAAATTAACTACTACTACTGAATGCGGCTCACGGACTTTTGATCGTCGCATAAAGAAATGAAGAGCCTGATGGCAAAAATATTTTCCCGAATAAATCTCACCGAAGGAGATCTTGTTTTTTTGACGTTCTTTATTATGAATTTTTTTTTTCGGAAAAATATTTTTCGCCAATCAGGTTCTCCCGTTTTCTCTGCGGAGATTGGAAGTGCGTGAACCGCATTCAGATGACATCACTAGCAGAATCTGATTTGATCTTGAAATTTATTAACAAGAACCAAGAGAGTAAATATTGATCCTTTTCTTGGAGACTTGAATTTCAATTTAACTCATGGTACAATCCAGGATATTTGGTCAATTTAGGAATTGGTAACTGGGCGGAGTGAGCTTGACGCTAGCTTTTATCCATCAATCTTCTTATAACCCTATATTGNGATTCTGTAAGCTTCAAGCTTAAAAATGTCAATCACGATATTTGGTCAATTTAGGAATTGGTAACTGGGCGGAGTGAGCTTGACGCTAGCTTTTATCCATCAATCTTCTTATAACNTTTGTTCTCATTTCTCATTCTGACGCTCTTGACCTTGACATCTCGTATTAAAAAAAATAAATAAACGAAGCTGTGATGTACTTTATGGTTTTTGCATTCATGACATTATTGTTGTAATGAAGTATTGGATTGTGTATTATTTGTTTTAATCGATATTCAAAAGATATTTTTGTTGTTCAATACATGCAATTTTACATTTAAATTTTTAAGTTTCCTCTTCTAAACTGCATTTCGTATTTCTAGATGTTTCGTTAAATAAACATTTCACTGTCTCACTAATATTGCCTTTCATAAGTAAGTTTATATGCATGTACATGAAAGCTTTTGTCTCATTAAATTCTCGAAACATATTTACTTTAAAAATATTTGATAATATTTTTAAAGTAGTTTTACTCCATAAATATTTAGTTATTTCTCTTAATTTATAAAGTAGTTTTGCTCTATAAATATTGGTTCCTCCTGCAACCAACTTATGAAACAGTTTTACATCCTTATTACAATCTTGAATATATTTACTTGGTTAAGCATTTTTAGGTAAAAAAATTGTTTCTTCTTTAGAGTTGAAAAGTCCCTTTGGTCACGTCTTATAATGATCTTCAAGTCATTACTCCATTTTAAAAGTAACTAGTATTATGACACTTGCACTATATTATTCCTAAAAATGTCATAAATTTTTTGTGTAGACAAAAAAAAGTTCGTTCTTAAAATACAAGACAATGATACAATTTAGCCCCTAAGCTATGCCCATCTGATTAAAAAATAGGAATAATTGGTATATTTGATGTTTTATGAATAACAATTTAGAAAATAAGTCTACTGATTAAGGAATTAAAACACTCATAAGAACCAATTATTCTAATTTAGATAATTGTAAGTATGTAGTGTTGCTTTGTCTGTTTATTTTTAATAATTTATTTTAGCTTCGTTTTTCTTTAGTTTTCTTTTTCTGAACCTTAAAATTCCGGGTATAGCTTCGAGCAAAAAATATTCACATTTTCGATCTGCACTTCCTTATTTTCACATTCCTAAAACTGTTGAAAAATTTTAATAATAGCATTATTTTTAAATTTAGTTTTAATTTAAAGAGCTTTATTGTTATACTTTGTACTTATTAATTAATTAAGCTTATTACCTGTTTGTGAACATTTTGTTTGATTTAATCTGCTTTACATGTTTTGTAGAAATATTGCTTAAATGTTTCATAGTTTTAATCCAAGGTCATTCATAAAATTATAAATTAAGCATATATTTTTCTCCATTATATAACTATTAGCTATTTCAAGATCTACTGTAAAATTTTATATATGATATATATATCAGACGGGTATAAAAGCAAACTATCTGACAAAATAAACTTATTGGAATGTTCGGAAAAGAAAAATTTTTCTGGTTGAAATTCCTATTTCTATAGATATTTAGTTTTTCTGTAACTTGAATGAGGTTGGTTCAATTCTACGTAACTAGTATCAGTTAATTTAATAGTGTTCTTGTTAGAAATTATGCTAATTAGAATTGGCTCTTATAAATATGATAACTCTGTTGAAAAATGATGATTTTCATGCTGTTACTTAATGTTTTCATCACAGAAAAAAATGGGTGAGAAATTCTCACTCTTTCTCAAAAACAGGGTGAGATTTCAAAAAGTTAAGTGAGATTTCTAAAAATTTTTAAAAAAAACACACACACACACACAAAGAGACTTGGAAAAAGAATCATTTCTTTAATTATAATACATTTTTAACATCTTCTAATTTTTAAAGCATTGAATGTTTTTGCTGCTCATCATATGGAAAATGTTCTACATCTACTTTTTCATCAGCTATTCTCTTTAGGTTGCTCAAATGCGTATTTGTTTTGTTTCGATTGTTTCTTCCCATATTTGTTTCCTTTTCATTCGTCCATTTCGGAGTAGAAGATATTGCCTTTACAAGGTATTTGTCCATCTTACATTAATGCTCAAAAAATTTGAACGTCTTACATGAAGAAACCTTACCTACGGTAAGCATGTAGTTGCAGAGAAATGCGTTCTGAAAGAGGTTCCGTGATTCCAAGGGATGGTGTTCTGTTGTTCTTAAAGGTTCTGAACAATACTGGTAAATAGGGAAGTTAGATAATAAGGCAGATGTTGAAAATAATGAAGGATCCAGAAAGAAAAGTGAAATGGATTTTATTGTAAATGGCGCAATGAGAAATTCGTGAATTCTGAAATTGGCTTATAGAATGCACGAATTTCTCGAGGTAATCATTTTTTAATGCGAGAAAAGAAAACAATATGCGAGATTCTCACGTTCTCTCGCTATAGTGAAAACACTGTTATTTAACAGTAGTGATAGTTTCTTTTATTTCTATTTAAAGAAGATTGAACTTCTCTTTAAAGTTTCTTAAGTTAGTAATAATTAAAGCTGAATGCTGTAAAAGCACAAGAAAAACTATTTTATTTAATCTAGATATCTAGAAGAAAATTATGTGTCTCTAGGGAAATTATTTATCTTTTTTAAAATTACTCAGTAGAACTCCGGTTTTATATTCTCCATTTTGTAGGGTCAGCTGGGTATGAAATCAAGCTTTTTTCAAAAAGGTTTTTAAAGAAGGTTATCAAACCATTAACTTTACTTTAACGTAAATTTCGATGCATTTTGTATACAATGGATTCATTTAGATTAAAAGTGAAGCATAACTTATCAATTTTGTTTGATTGTTTTCTTACAGTAATGCATTCAAAAGAATATGTTTTGATATAGGTACTTTATCCTACTCTGGTATAAAGTGGGTTTAGTTTTAAAGTTAGTATATATTTCATTAAAAAACATATGTCCATTTTATATACTTGAACATATGCAGTATATTATTTTAAAAACAAAAATACTCTTAAATAAATGTATCTTGATTATATTATTCTTAATTATACTATTGTGGTGTTTGATAGCTTATTTGATGTAAAAAAAGAACATTCTTCTTTATTGAACATTCTTTAATATTTAATAATTTTCAGCTATTATATCAGGCGGACTATCTCACCACAATAGAATAGTAATTTATCTTAAACCAGATGTTTATTTTGTATACAGTTATGCTCTTAGAATGTGTTTCTATAAAACTAAATAAGTTAAAATCAACAGAAATTGAATTTAGGTATGGAAAAGCAAAATAATGGTAAAATAGAATAAATTTATTTTTAGAAACGTAAAAAGAATCGCCTGTTGACGCCAATGATGATTACTTAAGTGGAAATATTAGCCATTTGGTAGCCAGACAACATGCACAAAAAGTCTATGTACATGTACTATTTAGCTACGTATATGTACTAAAAATAATTGATAAACCTACTATTTATTATTTTAAGAGAAATATAAAAAATAGCCATACCATTTTTATGTGAATGATGTTTAATTAATTATGGTTTAATAGTTACGAATGACTACTAGACATGGTACTAATTGGTTTAGGAGGTACTATGCTATTTATTGCCATGCTATTTATTGTTGCCAATGATGCCTAATTTTAGTAATACACAACTAATAATATTATGAAAATTGTTGTCTTAATATGTAACAAAACCATTAATAGAGGTACAAAGTATTATAATAGTATGTTTGGTACCTATTAAAACTGCATCAATACTGTACAGCTTTATTATTGGAGGAATGCATTTTTATTGCCCCTCAAAAGTAGCATAATTGCTAGAAACATAAGCACCAGAAAAAAATGATGGAAATTGACAGGGGAGGGCGGTGGGTGGTTCATACACAAAGCAAATCAGAAAATTTAGTTTTTGAATTCCTTTTATAGTCATACAGTTTTTAAATTAATAAGAATTATTCAATTTTTTAAATAAATTAAATACAAATAAATAAATGGTAGATAAAAATTTAAGATATAACCGAAGAAGCAAAAAAAAAAAAATTTTTGTGCCAATCAATTGTCTTTACAAGCAAGCATAAGAGTTAGTAGAAACTTTACTAAACCTTTCTAAAAGAATAAGAAAACCTTAAAGATATGAAAAACATTAATAAGCATTAATATTACAGTATTTATATTTAAAAAAGATTTTGCAGGTTTAAATAATATTTTTGACGAACTAAGACTACTGCTGTTTAAAAGTTATGACGTCTAGTTTTTGATCTGTTTTCATACAATGTCATTTTTAATGGGAATTTAATGTCTTTCTCAGTAACTATCATAACAAACGCTTTTAATGTTAAATCTGAAATCACTCATAAGCACATTTTTTCTTCTCCAAAATGATTATGCTGCTGTTCTATCCCTGTATTTTGGTAATATTTTTAATTGTATAATGTGTATATTATATTGTTATTTACCCTTATCATTCTTCGCTTTAAAAAATTTTGTTTTCAAGTTACAATGTAGGGCTATAATCAGACAATTAAAATATTTTTTTGTTACTTCAGTATAAAATATAGATACTTACTAAAGCTAACACAGAAGAGGAAAGAAATATCCTTACAAGGCTTAGCTAAGCCTAAACATATACCCGCTTTACCCTATTTAATATTCTTAATTTTGTTTTTTTGCCCCAATTTTACAAACATTTGCATTGTAAGTATCGAGAGGGATATTTTTGCCACTGTATCTAAAAGCAAAAAACATCTAAAGATTGCACATTTTTTCTAGTAGTACATCTCATAACTGTCTATTTTTATGAAATATTCTTAAATTGTTTTTTCCCCGATTTCAGTTTATCCCGCTTTGTGTCTTTTTTTTTATTTTTAAGAAAATGTAAAATTGGGGTTCCACCGTATATATTTTTTGTAAATGCATATGCATAATGTAAATTTTTTAATTTTAGATTCTCATAATGGAAAACAGAAAAGTATTTTTAGTGGCATCAGCAGCTCTTATGAATGCTGTCACTGTTGGAATTGCCTCCACGTATTCTTCTGCAGCCACTGAAAATATGAAAAATGGTAAATTGAATCCTAGCGATGTGGAAGTTTCATGGATTGGCAGCATTCTTCCTCTAGGAGCTATTTTAGGAGGATTAATTGCTGGTATATTTAATTTTTTTTTAATGATTTGGAAAAAAATAAAAGAATTATTTAGAAATATTTACTTCTTTAGTGGTTTTGTTTTTTATCCATAGATTATACATTCAAACCCCGCTATAGTGAACACAGTTTATAGTGAACTCCCGGATATAGTGAACAAATTGTGCGCCCCCGTACCTTGCTACTCACATATAATGTTATTTTTTTGTGGATATTGTGAACTGAAAAAAGAGAGGCAGTTGGATGTTATGAACTTTTTTCTGTCTTCGGCTGATTTATTTTCCTCATTTTTTTTGTAATAATTTTGAAATTTCTACTTCAAAATAAATACATATACAGATTTTTAAAACCATTTATTGTATGGAATGTAGCAATAAGCATTTATCTGGTTTGCTTCATTATTGAATTGCATTATTTAATTGGTTCAGCATTCAAAGAAGCTGCAAACTTCCTGTATCTGGACAAATGCTTCAAGTCAAAGCCGATGAATTTGCTAAGCGATTTGGTGATACTACTTTTATGTGCTCGAATGTCTGGTTAGACAGGTTTAAAAAGCGGAATTAGATAAATTCAAGAAAAAATATTGGAGAGTCGGGAGGTGTTTCTATATCTGATGTTGAGGATAGCTGACCGGCTAAAGATTAAAAAAAAATTTTGGGTGCACGAGACGAAGCATAATAAAAAATAAAAGTTAACACATTTTTGTTGTATTATTTTTCAGTAATTTTTGTATTTCATTTTATTGGTCAGTTATTCAAATGATGCGTAATAAAAGGGGGAGGAGTTTGGAACTATTAGTTAAAATTGTTTTCGGAACGGTTATAGTGAAGTCCCAGTTATAGTGAGCCAACCCCCCATTATAGTGAAATTAAGTTCATTATAACGGGGTTTGACTGTATTTTCTTATTTACATTTTACTCATGCATGATGAGAAAATATTAGCACCTTAAAACTAATGTTAGAGACTCAATTTAAAAAATAATTATAATGAGAGGGAAAAGAGATCCACAATCTTAGATATGTCGGTACAAAGCGAACCAAAAAAAACTTTTCTCTTGATCCTGTAACTGTCTCATATATGAAATTAAAAAACAGAAATTATTTTTTGCTATATTTTGTAAAAATGAGTCTTTGATGTAGATCAGCTTTTCTAAGAGTATTGGATTGTAACCATTTTGTTTTGTTAAAATTTTTGTCCTGTTGGTTTTTCATGAAGTGTAATTACTTGCAAATAAATTGGGGGGGGAAATCTAAAATTAAAAAGGTACATGAAAGAAACTCATTTAAAATACCAATCACAACTATTACTTTAATTTTATATATTAAATCAGGGCTCGAAAAAACTCAGATATTTTACCCGTCCCCGAGGACGGCTTGTCCAACAATGTACCCGTCCTCCTTTGAAACTAACCCGTCGCATCTAAATAAATAAAAATATTATTTTTTCTTATTTATTACAAACATTTATATAAATTACACAATGAATTAGTAGCTACTACGATTACATTATACAGTAATAAAATAAACATTAGGTTACTAATGGTAAAACCTAGTATTTCTTTTATGAAATAATTAATTTCTTTTATGAAATAATTTAAATGACAAAAGTCAAGTTATCTGGAATGTCAATTTATCCAAGGGTACTGCGTTTTTTAAATGAATCAAATATGACGTTTGCCAGTTCCACAATCAAGCCTATGATTTACCGAGGTTTCTGCACAGAAATCTGAAAGGGTTTTTCCATGTAGGTGGATGTTCATAATTGCGTTTAACGCTTACGTAATGTGTTTTTTTGTAAGTTCATTGCTGAAAAGTCCCTTTCAACTGCTGCAGTATTCCTAGACGGAAAAAACATCAATCCACCATGCGCAGTATGCTGCTGTACGGGATTTCTAGATTAGAGGGTCATTTTAGAAGTGAGGCGCTAGACTCTTGTAAGATAACAAAAATTGAAAGTGTATCACAAACATTAACGGACGTCTGATTCGAGAAATCCGTTTTCCGCGGAAAATTTTTGACCGCCGAGGACAGGCGGTTTTTTGAGCCCTGTAGTAAATATAGATAAATAATTATGTATTTTAATTAAATAATCACGTAATTCTGTTTTGTCTGCTTGCTGTGTAGTGTAATTATTTTTAAATTTGTACAATTGAATTGGGGAAAAAAATTGAAAATATAAAAGTGCTTAAAAGAAATTCTTTAAAAGTTCCAATCACAATTATTACATGTAGTAGTTAGTTTCATAACAACTTATTTTTCTGAAAAATCATAAACTTTAATTGTAATTAATCTTCTTACTGTGCTTCGCCTGATTTATTTACATTAAATTAATTTATAGATAAATAATTAAGTAATTTTATAAATTTATTTTGATAATCTCCTCCTTACAAAAAAAAAAAAAATTATACATGTTCTAGAAATGAATTTTTTTTTCTTTAAAATGTAAATGCACCCTCATTGTTATGATTAAAGCTTTGAATTACTTATTTTAGCCCCAACATGGTATTTTTTCTAATATTTGTGACCCACAAGTAATTTAGTTCTGTGTTAACTTCATTGTGAGTTTTTGATAAAAAAAAAATTTAGAAATAAATGATATTTTAAATAACATTAATAAAATATTTTCAGTGTGAGTATGCCCCTTGTAACAAAGTGTTGTGTTACAGATCTTTTAAATGAAATTCTAAAATTTGCAAATCAGTTTTCTTAAGGATTAACAATTTTTTCATGCCTTATATTTAATATCACCGCTTCCTTGTTTACCAGTTTCTAGCTCTGTAGTTTGCTAATTTAAAATATGTTTTTACTTAATCAATAAAGTTATTTAGAGATTGTGCCAAGGAACTTGAGATTGATACTAAGTTAAGAAAATCTGCTTTAATTAATCACATAAAAGCATTTCTAATATAAACTGATAATTAATATCATTTTTCTTTTTTAAATTGTTTAATCTTTTGTATGTTTTTGTTTTTGAACAATATATTATTTTTTGCTTTATATATATATATATTGTCATAGTGCGTCTTTTTGTACTTTTGTATTCTACCATTCTCGATAAATTTTGATACATTACAATATTCCACATCCTTTGTAAAAACTTTCCCTTTTCTTTAAATTTAGGTTATTTGTCTGACAGAATCGGCAGAAAAGGAGTCATGCTTTATCAATCTTTAATCCTTGTCTTGGGCTGGCTGTTTATTGCCTATGCACCTAACCTAATGTTTGTTTACATTGGCAGATTTATGACTGGCATATGCTGTGGATTAATTTGTGTTGTAACTCCCATGTATGTTATTGAAATATCTACAGCAGAGATGAGAGGCAACCTGGGTTCAAGATTTCAATTATTCATCTGTAAGGGCATTATAATTTCATCCATTCTTGGAGTCTTTCTTCCATGGCAATGGTTTGCCATTGCAGGTGCTGTTGTTGGAGTTTCGGCACTGTTATGTGTTCTCTTCATCCCAGAATCCCCACGTTGGCTTGTACTTCAAAATAAACAGTCTGAAGCTGTAGAAGCTGTAAATTTCTTGTATGGTAGTACTGGTGCCTCGTCTGTAAACCAGCTAGTTAGCGAAAGTTTAAACATAGAATCTTCCTCTATTGCGCTTCATGAAATACTTCACCCAACATTTTATAAACCTGCTTTCTTGTCGATCATTTTAATGATTTTTCAACAGTTTTCTGGTTCGAATGCCATCCTTTATTATACTGTGTCTATTTTCAAGCAAGCTGGTAGCTTCATTAATCCGGTTTTTTCAAACTTGTTGGTTGCTGTTGCTATGTATATTTTCACCCTAATTGCCACTTTTTCCATGGATGTCATTGGAAGAAAGAAGGCACTATACCTATCTGGTATGGTTACTGCAATATCGCTAAGTGCTATGAGTGTGTATTTACTTGTAAGTTCCCATGACAACAAATTCAAATCCAACTTTAGCTTTATGCCACTGGTGTGCTTAATAATATACATTGCTGGTTTTTCATTGGGCCTTGGTCCTATTCCTTGGCTTATGATGTCTGAAATGTCACCCGTGAGAGGTCGGGGCATAATTTGTGGGCTTGGGACTGCATTTTCTTGGTTCTTCGCATTTATAGTTACGAAAACATTTTTACAGATTGAAGATCTTGTTGGAAACATTGGAGCATATTGGATATACTCTGGATTTTGTTTGTGTGTTTGTTTCTTTGCATCTTTCTTTCTTCCTGAAACCAAAGGTCGAACTTTAGAAGAAATAGAAAACCATTTTGCAGGAGGGGAATCTCGTTTACAGCGATTGCAGGAACTTTCAAATGAGAGGTATTCTGATTTGGAAGGTTAAAAGTATTAAGACAATATATTAACTTATAGAAACTATTTTGGTAATATACACCCTTTTGTTCATTTTAATATAACTATACTTGTAGTAAGAATTCTGTGTTATAATGTGTGTTTTTATTTATACTTATTTAAATTGTAAATAAAGCTGTGTTCATTGTATGTGTTATATTCTTGTTACCTCTAGAATTCCTTTTAAATTACTGTGTGGTATATGATTATTTCATTTAGTTCTAATTAGAAAAACAAGATTCTGGTTTTGATAAAGTTTATTTGAACTGAACATTAATAAAAATTATCAACTAATCAAAACTGTTTTGACATGATATTCATAGAAATACATAGTAATAACTGCTAAAATTAACTAAAAGATTTTATGTAAATTTTTAAAAATAAAATATTTTAAAAGGATAAATAATATGGTTGTTTGTTATATATGACTGATTAGCTAGAAAATTAATTTTTTTTCTTAAACTATAAACTATTTACTTGGCAATTATGCAAAATTAAAGAAAAAAACGTTAAAAAAAATTATTTTTTATTAAACAAATTTTTTTAATACATAATTTCAAAATTTCTTTGACGCATAAAAAGATTTTAAATTTGATCAAACATTTAATTCTATTTTTTTAGGAAACTGAATTTATTCATTTTGTGTGTAAATTTATAGGTTGTTTCAGAATTAAATTATTGAAAAGCTTATTGAGAAGAGATTCTGAGTGATATTTTAGGGAATTTTGAATCATCATCTTTACAAAACAGAACTGCAGTTTTTAATGAGAAAATATATTTACCAAATATTTTTTCCCATTAAAGACTTCTTTTAATTGTTAAGTTATAAACATACATTTCACACTAAAAATTAAGCTGTATACATACATTTGATACTTTAAATAAAGTTGTATGTATACATACAACTTTATTTAAGCAAATACTTTATTGTTAAACTTTAACAACACTTTATTTAAACAAATACTTTATTGTTAAACTTTAACACACAACTTTATTGTATAAAGTTGTACATACATTTGATACTTTAAATAAAGTTGTATGTATACATCTGTCTGATCACAATCTTTTTTTAATGTCACTTGGGGTACCTTTATCAACTAAATTCCTAAATTGGTCTGTTGCCTTAAAAACAAAATTAATTAAATACTTTTAGGCCCTTTTGCATCAAGTGTATATGAAATAATATATAGTGTAATTTATAAATATTTTTTTTTGTTTGTTAGTTGATTCCAGCTATAAAGTAAGTGCAAACATGTATAAAATCTTCCATTCGTCTAGTTCGTAATTTTTAACACATTTATTAAAAGAAAGTAGATACTTTTCAGATGCTTATTAAAAGCATGGAATAGTGATGAATTGTTTTAATAATAATTATAGTTGATCTGTTTAATAGATCGAGGGAAAATTAGCTTTCTCACTCTTAGTTACAGGGGTGAATGTTAAAATGTTAATTAATGCATACTTGAACTTAAAAAAGTTAAAAGACAGAATGTGAATATTAAACTGGGAGAAAGAGCGTTTTGTTTAGAATAATACATAAAGAAAAAGATTTACAGAAAAGGAATAACGTAAAAAGATTAGTAGAAGCTTTTTATGTTCCATATTTATTTATTATTATAATTTTTTTTTTTAAAAAAAGGCCGTATTTCGAACTTAAAAACTATTTAATCTATTTCATTCAATCGAATTGCGAATGCAGCCAGCCAAATAGTGCATTATAAGGTTGGTCGAAAAATAAATCGGTTGAATATTTGCTATTTTTCCAAAATCAATCGGTATATTCCTACCTACACTGAATTAATAAAAAGTATTTATCAATTAATATTTTAAACTATTTAAATTTCTTGAGTTAATTTCGTCATAGGTTATCTTTATATAAATGCAAATTCTATGACCCTGTGTTTGTTACACTAAAAACAGTAAAAATTCATAGAAGTATGCATTAGTTTTTAACGTCGTCGATAATAATGAATGTCGATTTCAATAATAGGCTGTTAAGAGAGGAAATAAAATTGAATGATAAAATATACAGTACAACAAAATGCATATTCTTTTGAGGTGTGCATCAGAAATTCTAAAAGTAGCAGACGAATTTTTATTTTGTTAAAAGAAATATAACTTAGGGATTGATGGTCTCTAACCATGGGTAAAAGCGAGACCGAAAAGAGGAAACGCTGGCAGTAAAACATTCTCAGTCTATTTTTCGGAAGGAGTAAATCTCTTTTCTTCGTCAAACTTCTCTACAATATCTACTTTTTCATGGAAAAGAAGCAGTTTTATGTATATGCTATAATTACATATAAAAAAAATCTTGGTAGTTACAGAAATTTAAATTTTCTAGGAAAAAAAATGCTTAAATGAAATGCAATTCATACCAGTTTTTGCTCTTTTCTGTCTTGGTTGGATAGGTTTTCAATCTTGTGATCAGGGCCCGACATAGGCCAACACCTCCTAGAAAAGAGTAGGCCTCTGCACGGGTTACCATAAATATCCTTTAGTAGTCCAAACGTAATGACATATTTCGTATTTTCAACCACTGCGCAGCTTAGTACCCCGAACGTAATGACATCTTTCTTATTTTTCATCAACTGCACAGTTAACTTCGTCACATCGGACTACTAAATTGATCCGTGCTGAGGCCTTCAGACTTCTAGGAGGTGTTGCATAGGCCCTCTGCTTCACTACTTCAGTGATTAAAAATTGAACTTTATGGAGGTATTTAAATTTTTCACCTCATTATACTTATATAACAAGAAAATTGACTAGAGCTTAAATTAGCTATAATGCCCCCCCCCCCTCCAATGGTCCGACGAAATATCGTTCTGTCCATTTTATTGATTTTCAGACAATTCTATGCGATATTCCGATTGCGGTTTTCTGATTGTTAACTTTGTCATCTAGCTGCGCAAAATTCCTAGCCTTGCTCACATTAGGGCGGAATTCAGCTAAATTTTCCGAATTATGATGGCTCACTTAAGCTAATCAAAAGCCTGTATTTTTGTAAACATATCGCCTTTTGCTACATGTAAAAATGCGGGCTTTTGATTGTCCAAATTTGCCCATCGTAATTTGCGACAATTTAGCTAAATTCCGCGCTAGAAAGCCACGGATTTACGAAATATAGATTTTTTGTGTTAATACGATAGATTAATAAAGAAGCTAACAAAAAACTGACGGAATTTACACTGTACTGATATTTTGTTTAAAAAATTTCATTAATGAAGAAAACCTAACATAAACTTTCGATTCGATTTATGGTCCCCCTCCAAAGTGGGGCTCTGGGCAACAACCCCGTATGCCCCTGCCTTTGTCAGGCTCTGCTTGCGATACAAATAAATTTATTAGCAATATTTCTGTATTGCTATGTAAATAATGCATGGAATGACGTAAAACTATTGTTCTATGTTTTACTGTTTCACAACAATACAGAAAATAAGTAAAATTATATCGCCGAATTATTCTACTACCATCCATATCTTCCTCTTGCTTACTCCAAAATAATAAAAAGCAAAGCAAAATAATATCAGAAAATAAAAAATCTAATATTATATAGCATCAAAACTAAAGGAAAGTAATATTATGGCGAACGCTAGATAATATTAGTTTGCATAGAATCTAATATTATATTATGCAGAGCAAACAACGACCTCTTGTATCTTTCTAGCATTAGAAGTTGTTCAAGATAACGTTAGATTTTTCTGATGTTATCTAATATTAGATGCTACTTGGGAAGAGTTAAGATTATTAGAATAAAAGAAAGTGTAGTGTTGTACGTTATTCACTTTTCTGTATTAATACTAGATATAAATTGAAATATCTTCCATATTGCCCTTTTTTTTATATATTAACTTAAATAGTGGAAGGCTAGCATTGTTTAATTTTTAAGAAACTTACAATGGGTTAATCATAACATTTTGAGGGTCTTGAAAACTTTTCGGAATAAAGGACTTCTAACAACTTGCCCGTTTATTGGGATTACTGTATTCAATTGCCTTTTTGTTAACTCGTTTCTGTATTCTTCCTTTATTTCCTGTGACATAAATTCTTGCTCCCGTTCGACTTGATTTCCTTTAGTAAGCTTAATCGGAAGTATTTTATTTTATCTTAGAGCAATATATCCCCTTCCGGCAACTATGTCATTTAGTTTATTTAATAAACGAGCTTAAATATTTTGTCAGATTTCGGACAATGGTACATAATAAATGCCAATGCATTTTGATAGTAAGTTATTACAAAGAAATGCTACTTTAAATACGACAATATCCCTTTAAAAAAATAAAAAATGCGTTTGCTTTTTAACACCCATTTTTTCTCAATAAATTTTATTAATCTAAAATAAATCTCTAAGATTGAAGAAGAAAAAAGTAGTATCAATAAAAGTACAAGCACAAAAGAACAACTTTGTCCATAACAAAGCGGGCTACAACGGAAGATTTTGATAAGCACTTGCAATTATAAATATAATTTATTTGTAATTATAAATATAATTTATTATTGCATTTATTGTTCTGATAAATTATATTGTTCTCATAAATTTGACATTCATACTAGAAATGTTCAGAAATTTTTAATACAGGATGTTTCTCACTCAGAATTCTTGATAAATCTCCTTGATAATAAAAAATTAAGTGAAATTTATACATAAATAAGGTACCGCTAATAAATTTTTAAGCGAGGTACAAACAGAATCATTATCAAATTCTCACGAATAGCTATTAAAGAGACTTTAAATATCAAACCAAGTTTGATAAATAGATAAAATGTTTCTAGAAATGCCTTTAACCTCTTCTCAATTTTTTCAAGCAAACCAGCAGGCTTTAATGTTTTCATTCTTATTTTGATCATTCATGATTTTTTCGGTTTTGATATTGTTTTTCTCAATAAAATATTAATACGCGACCTAAAAACATATCTTAAGGAAGGTGATTAAAGAACACCCTGTATATTTTAGCATTAAATTTTCATAATAAACTTAAGTGCAACTAAAATTACTCGTCCTTTGAAACATTTTTTAAAATTCTTTTTATTAATAGACGAGGGCAATATTAATCTTTGCTCGCTTTGTTTAACAACCCCTTGCAAGCGACGTCAGGTGTGGGTCAGTCAACCAGGTTCGACATACATGGGTGACATAATTTGTCCATTTAAAT